CTGGCGCACACCCTTCCCAATTTTGAACCATGCAGTGTTGCCCTGCTCTGTTCTGACGACTGCCTCTTGGTCCAAGTATAGGTTTCGCATTAGCATGATTAAATGTTCTGGGATTCCCATTCAAGAGATCAGTATTTGTTCCTATTCTCAAAAAAAAAAAGAGATCCAGGTGAGCTCTGGTGACCTTGTGGCAAGAAGCTGTAGTGCAATCACAGAAGTGAGTGGTTCGAATCCACCAGATGCTCTGCTGGAGAAAGAGAGACAATCTCCCCCTGTACCAGTCAGATCCAGTTTGACGGTACACACACACACAAGATCCAGCAGAATGTAGAAATTATCAATGTAAGTAATATTACATGCAAGTGAAATCTTGCTGAGGACTATTTTAAAACCGGCTGGAATAGTAAATCAATAGGAAAGTGCCAGACATTCAACCTGAGTTCAGAGAAGGATTTGTGGTACAGCAGATATCATGACTGGTATCAATGGATTTTGGCTCAAAGCAGAAAATTTGCAGTAGGCAGAGCAGAGCAAGGGAATGAATGCTGTATGATTTAAAATCAGAAAAGGTGTGGGAAAGGGTTTTAGCTTCCCTCCATACCTATCTAATCTGTTTGATGAGCAAATCATTTGAAAAGCTGGACTTCATGAAGAATGTCGCATCAGGATTGCTAGATGATTAATCAGCAATCTGAATTATGCAGATGACACAAACTTGCTTACGTAGAGTAAAGAGAACTTGAAATACTACAGAACATCAAAGATTATAGGCTTCAAGAAAGTAAAAATGCTCACCAATGTACCAATAGATGGAGAAAAGATTGAAGTTTTCAGTAACTTAATTTTACTTGGCTCCACAATCAACATCCATGGTAGCAGTAGTCAAGAGATCAAAAGATGTGTTACACTGGGAAACTCTGCTGTCAATGATGTATCCAAAGTGTTATATAGAAATTTCAATTTTAATTAATGTTATAAAACAAAATGCCTATGAATAATTGAAGGGAAACCCAATAACATTTTTTCACTAAAAATATGAGCAATTATAATAATTTGAAGTATACAAAATCACATATAAATTATAAATTAGAATCATACCTATATGGATATCCATGATATTTAGACCTGAAGATAGACAGCATCCAACTGAAGAATAAAACAACGAGTCCAACACCAGCTATGCACATTACTGTAAAAAAATAAATAAAAGGAGAATAAAATGAGCATGTAAACCATATCAAGAAATAAATTTTAAACTATTTCCAAGAGTAAAAGGATAGAAAAGGCTATAATTTAATGATAAATCACAACTTTGTAACAGTTTTCTTTTTCCCATTTGTTCATCTTTAGATGGTTGTTTTACCCTCAAAGTTTCTTAATTGCAATATAGTTGAATATTTTATACTTTTGGTACCAGCAGCCAGGAAATCAAGAGACAAATTGTATTGGTCAAGTCTGCTGTGAGGGACCTCTCAAGAGTACTGAAGAGCAATGACATCAGTCTAGAGACTAAGGTGCGCCTGATCCAGGCCATAGTTTTCACAATTGCTTGCTATGTTCAGAGATCTGGACAATGACTAGGGATGATAGTATGATAATTGATGCCTTTGAGCTGTGGTGCTGGAGAAGATTTGAATATACCATAGACTGCCAGGAGCACAAACAGGTTCATCCTAGAGAGGGTAAAGCCAGTCTGCTCCTTGGAGGCAAGGATTCTGAGGCTTCGTCTGACACACTTTGGGCATGTTGCAAGGAGGGACCAGTCCTTGGAGAGGAACATCATGCTTGGAAGGGTGGAGGGACAAAGAAAGAGAGAGAGAGACGATAGACGAGATGGATTGACTGGGGTAATGAGGGTAGGGGTGTTGGAGACAGTAACATTGGCACAGGATAGAGCAGGTTTCAGGGCTGTTGTATATAGGGTCACTAGGAATCACAAGCCACAAAACAACAACAACAACAGAATTAAATTGTAGGAACTGTGAATTTCTTAACCATTTCACTTGTGAATTAACTTCTTTTTGTTGTTGTTCTTGTTAAGTGCTGTCGGGTCATAATGGACTTATAGTAACTCTATGAATGAAAGTCATGAACATGAAAAACCTTCATCTTTTCACTAAGTTCATAGAGTTTCCAAAGGCAAGCTATTTCGGAAGTTGATACCACTCATGCTTCCAAGCTTGTTTTAATTCAGGAGCTCCACCAAACACTGTCCACCATAGGTAACCATTGTCGCATTTGGCATATCAGTGTCACAGTGTTTACCCTCACAGCAACCACGAGTGGCCTTTGTAGATTGCCAAAGCAATTCTATAATACTTAGAAGAATGTTTGACTGAAAATAATTAAAATCAGGCCTGAGGACCACAGGCCTGACGGTCCAAATGCCCAGATGCAGAATCCAGGCACTCCATTTATCTTTCCAGACTGAAAGTAGCTCCAGACTGGTGACCAAACGCCTTTTTAAATAGGAGGCCAAACCTAATCAGCTAACACTCAGTTTCAAGCAACAGCCACACAGAAGTCTCAACCAAACCCAGAAAACACACCTTAGCAGAATCCAGCCGCTCTATTCATCTTCCCATACTGAAATTATAAGACTTTTACTGTACACAGTAAAAACACTCAATAAACCAGTGATTAAGTTAATAATTTTATAACATCTTTATAAGTCTTATTTAATTTTTGCTACCTGATATCTTCACTTGAATATTTCTATCAGGATTGGAGGAATACTCATGAAAACTTGTCTTAGGCATTGGGGGGAGGGATTGCATAACAACAAAAGAGTTTTTCCTTTTACTTTTTAAGAAGAGTAAACTAAGGGGGGTAGGCAGGGAGAAAAGTACAACAATGAATGACTGGAAATCCTAAGTCTCTGTAAACTTTCATTAAAATTAATAAAAGAAAACCCTCAAAAAAAGAAATAAAGAACAGATTAATGAAAAAAAAAAACATGTTACCAATGACACAACCTTGCTTGCTGAAAGTGAGGAGGACTTGAAGTGCTTGCTGCAGAACATCAAAACAACATAGTCTTTACTATGGATTGCATCCCAACATCAAGAAAACAAAAATTCTCACCACTGGACCAATAGGGAAAATCATAATAAATGGAAAAAATATTGAAATTGTCAATTACTTCATCTTAATTAGATCCACAATCAACACCCTTGGTACTTGCAATCAAGGACCTCTCCAAATTATTGAGGAGCAATGATATCAGTATTAGGACCAAGGTGTGCCTGACTCAGACCATGATATTTTCAATCAATTCCTATGTATATGAGAGCTGGACAATGAGAAAGGATGACAGAAAAAGGATTGATACCTTTGAACTGTGGTGTTGGAAAAGAGCACTAACTATCCCATGAACTGCCAAAAGAATAAACAGATATGCCTTAGAAAAAGTATAGCCAGAGTACTCCTTGGGGGTAATGATGACAAAGCTTCATCTCACATACTTTTGGCTGTTACTAGGAGAGACTATTCCTTGGAAAGAGACAGTTTGCTTGGAAAGGTGGAGGGGTTGGAGGAATAGAGGAAGACCCCCCAACCAGATAGACTGATACAATAACTATAGCAAAGCAATGGGCTCCAGTATGCCAGAGATTGTGAGGATAGCACAGGATAGGACAGGATTCAGATTTGTTTTTCATAGGATTGTTAAGAGTCATACTTGACTCAATAGCACCTAACAACAACAACATCTGATTAGCATTATGACTTTATCCATATAGGGCTAACTACATTGACTTGCATGAAGAATTCACTCAACATGGGTTGCAAATATGAGTAATGGGGGGGGGAAATTATTATCAGTTTAAAATTAATAACTCTCTCCACTAATCCCATTATGCTTTAAATTCAGCATAAAAGTTAACAATCCTAACCCAGATGTTGACCATGTAATATTCAATTAAGAGGCAGCAGCAGCCAGGTAGATAGCCAGGGATGGCTGGAGCACCATTTTCTACAGGGTACAGTAGCTAGACAGACAGCAGGCTCAGCCAGAGTTGGCCAGAGCATTATCTTCACATAAGACAGTAATAGTTACGTAGATGGTTGGCACAAATCAGGGATGGCGGAGTACCATCTTCACCAGGGAGCAGCACGTAGGTAGATGGAAGGAGGGATGGCCAGAGTGCCATTCTCACTGGGAGTAGCAGTCAGGTAGATGGGGCGGAGAGGGGAGAGGCGCCGCCAGGATCAAATGGAGCACCATCTTTATCTGGGTTTTCAACAGCCAGGCAGATGGTAGGTACAGTTAGGGTAAGCCAGAGAGGTATCGCTTCTTAGGAAGAACTGCCGACAGGTAGACGGGGAGTGCAGCCAGGGTTAATTGTATAGCAATCTTCACTTGGGCGCACCCAGATAGGCAACAGGTATGATTAGGGCCTGAGCCATCCTCATCAGGAGAAGTCAGAAGGCTCAACCAGTCTCTGCTGGTATCTGCCAGTTTGGTCTATTGGGGTGGGGGTGAGATGGAAAGGCTTGCATGGTGTTGCTTATGAATATAGATTTGTCTGTCAGTTACTGTACTGAGGCAGCTTGATAGTTGCTGCGATGCTGGAAACTATGACACTGGTATTTTAATACCAGCAGATTACCTATGGTGGTCAGACTTCAGTGGAGATTTCAGGTTAAGACAGATAAAGAAGGATGGCTGATCGCCCAATTTTGAAATAACTAGCCTTTTGGAAACCCTATGAACAAGTCACAAGAACACTGTTAGACATACTGTTAGAGGTTGAGCATTACAGAGGGAGACACAAAAAAATGAGGAGGAATAGCTGTAAACATCCATTAATAAATAATTGGAAGATGGAATATAAAGAATGAATGTAGGAAAAGTGGAAGTTGTAAAAAAAATGAAATTGAATGTATAAAGACCAATAATATTCTAGGAATTAGTGAGCTGAGCTGGGCTGGACTTGGTTATTTAAAATAAAAAAGTTATATGACCTACTATGCTGGGAATGAGAAATTAAGGAAAAATGGTGTTTCATTTATAATAAAAAAAGACCATTTCCTGTTCTATTCTGAAGTACTATGTTAGGAGTGATATCATATAATCCATATGAATACAAGGAAGATCTGTTAATATAACTATTATTCTAATATATCTACAACAGCTTAAGCTAAAAAAGAGTAAATTTTTTTTTTAAAAAGAGTAAATTTAGGACTTCTGCCAAATTTTGCAGCCTGAAATTGACCAAACATATAGTCAAGATGCATTAATAACAATTAGAGACAAAAATGCAAAAGTTGGAAACAAAGTAGGAATGGTAGTTGAAAATTATGGACTGCAGGACAGGAATGAAGCTGGAGATCAAATGATTTCATTTTTTACTCAATGATTTACTCATAGTAAATATCTTTAAGAAAAAGAGATGGTGACTATACACATGGACTTCACCTGATGAACTGCACAGGAATCGTAATAACTACATCGGTAGAAACAATCGGAGAAGTTCAACATTAACAGTCAAAACCAGATCAGGTGACGACTGTGAAACAGAACATCAATACTCATGGGCCAGTTCAAACTGAAGATGAAGAAAAACAAGTCCTCAAGAACCAAAGCCCATCTTTGGGTCTATTTCATCTGTATTTAAAAATCATCTCAAGAATAGGTCTGAGGCATTGAACACTAATGATAGAAGACCTGATCAGTTGTGGAGCAACATAAAAGATATCATCTATCAATCAAGAAAAAAGGTGATTGCAAAGGAAAGAAAAAAAGAAAAGACCAAAATTGTTGCCAGAAGAGACTCTGAACATTGCATTAGACCATCAAGAAGCTAAGCCAAGGGAAGAGATGCTGAAACAAAAAGAAGATGAACAGAAGATTTCAAAGGGCAGCACAAGAAGACAAAACAAAGTAATATAAAGGAATGTGCGAAGAACTGGAGTAAGAATTTAAAAGGGAAGAATTTTATTGGCATTTCTCAAATTGAAAGAGCTGAAAAACAAGTTCAAACCTTGAGTTGTAGTAGGGTGAGATGCTATGGGGGAAATCTTGAACGCTATGGGGAAGTATCATAAGAAGAAGGAGTTGTTTTCATCTCTTTGCTATCGTGAATAACACAGCAATAAGCATGGGTGTACATACATCTGTTTGGATGGCACTTCTGTTTCTTTTAGTGTTGATTCCCAGCAGGGCAATTGCTGGGCCAAATTATATTT